ATTTAAAATTATAACTATTTAAATGTGTCATTTTGTAGAAGACTCTAAAAACATCTCTGAAAGTCTCATACCTAAAGCATTTGATCTAAAAGCTTGCTATGTGATATTGAATTAACAATTATGAAAAGAAAAGGTTATATTTCTTAAAACTGACTGAAGTGATTAAAAAATACTCATGTGGACATGCCCACAACTTTTTCCAGTTATACGTCTTGATAAGGGAAACTACAAAAGTCCGGATTTGTTTTTGATGTCGCTCAGCAGAGCTATAACTACGCTGTCGATTGAATGACAGTGATTCATCAGGGACCGAAATGCAAAAAACGATCTATTTGAAGATTGCTAACCACATTTCGTAAGAAATGCTATTTGCCACTAATTTTATTTGACATTTCAGGAAATGTTACTTGCAAGAAGAATTTATCATAGATTTACTTTGGACAGAAGAATCACCAAACATCCAGTAGAGACATATGAATTTAACCTAGATTTGTTTTCGGTATTCTCCAGGCATGTTAATGCACTCGCCAATTTTATAGCACAGTACGTCACCCAGCTTAATATGCCAACAGATTTTAGAGCAAATTATCCTCATATGCAGTCAGATAATCAGTTCATATAAATTGCACAATATATGAGATGTATGATTCCGTGGAAAATGAAGAGTAAAGCAACTTATGTTACAAGAATGACTTGAATCTTTGGAAAAGCACCGGATGGCAAGAAAATTGACTCCAAAATTCCACAGCATATATTAAAAAATTCCTGTAGAAGGAGAGCTTACCCAGCGCGTTAATTTGTCAAGAATAGTGATATTGCCTACAGTTAAAATATTTATGTCTTAGAGTGTGTGGGAAGTCAGGATTCGATTATGAATTCACAACAGCTATACAGAGTCTAATCAAACATGACAAATTAACAATAAGTGTTATTAAGAAGAATTGCTCTCTTTATGAACCCTAGGTTTAGTTCCATTCACAGACGGGCAAAGATGATATGCAGAAAATTTTGCTGACAGAGGATTAGATTGGACATTGAATTCCCTGAAATGTTAGAAAACTGTGACATAAGTACAGGGTACAGTGAACTTAAAGACTGTCAAATATAAAGTGTTGATAAGTGTATCCATGCATCAGAAGACACTTAACTTTCATATACAGTTTTGATACGCCATCAGTGTGAAGCTAATGACGGTTAGTGATACAACCAAAAATACACTTGACTATTTAAAGGACCTAAAATGTGCTGCCCCAAAAGAAAAAGACGCTCCATTGAAAATCATTAAGTATACGAGGAATGAATTCTAGCTACTAGTATCTTGTTTATAACATTACATAGCTAATCTGTTCATCATTGTAAAAATTGAACATCTTACCAGTGTACATTCTTCCTTGTTCTCAATAGCAAGAATGTTCTGTATTAGATCATAGTACACTAACAGTGCAAGTAATAAACATTGTTGCGAATCGTTTAGGTCATTCATTCACATTACTTCCACCTAGTTCAATGGAGATACGTACCCACAAAAGAGAAGATCCTCAGATCTGACATCACGGTGAAACGTTCGTACAACACAGAACTGACTGGAAACCCTCAGTGTGGCATGGCCCAAGATTCTGTTGGAAAGACTCCGAATTAGTGCCAGAAAAACAAAATGGAAATTACATTTTGATGTGCTAAGTTTTGTAAAATAAAAGACAAGTCGTCTATTAAACAGCTAATGCTTGACATAACACAATTATAACGGAACTTCCTTCCTATGTTTCCATCATGTGACCCCTTCATAATTGAGAATAAGAGCCAACTATATACTCTGATGGAATCGTTTATACAGTAAATATCCTGGGCTCATCGATTCATCGATAATTGTCAATTGCCAAAAAGGAACTTAGATTATCATTAGAAGTTTGAGTTATTCAAGAATATAGAACAAAGCAGAAATAAACGATTATTCCAAACGCACAACAAATTTTTCAGTCGTTAAATAATCAGGCCTTTAAAAAGGAAAAAAGTATCTTCAAGTATGTAAACTTGACCCGTTAAACTCCGGAATATCTGGAGCTACTGAAGTGTAAATGAGAAGTTACATAGTATTAAAGTTTTGTTTAACTTCTCTCTTATGATGCTATAATTTCCCATCATCTTCCACGGACAGATTGGTTACAATTGAATAGTAAAGAATTTGTCATGAGAAAAACATGCCATGGGGCAACGAATTTGACATTAGCCAAATTGACTCTGTATATTGGGTCATATTCAGTTCCCGTGAAGAAATAAGAAGTATATGGTGAAAATCACAGGCTAAATGTAAGATCGAGAAGCAAGAGCGCAGGGTTCAAATCAGAATTATGCGGCGCCCTGCCAGATTTGAACGCTTTAGAGACAATCAATGCGAGTCATACAATACTGCTGTAACTATGGGCCGTCCAATTATCATCAAAACAAGCCGTGACGGAAAACGATGACTTAAGCGTTTACCTTTGTTGTATTAAACATGTTTAACAGTAAGAGCTGTACATCTTGAAATAGCTTACAGCTTGGACACAAACTCTTTTCTCAACGCTTTAAATAGATTTATCAGTTGAGAGGTGTTCAAGTGTTATTATATCTGATAATGGGACAAATTTTGTCGGTTGTGTTAACGAACTCAAAGATCTATACAAGAAACTTTATTCAAAGTGCTATCATGAAAAAGTGCTGTAAATTAGAAAAATTGAGTGGAAATTCATTCCACCAAAGCACCACATTTTTGCGGATGTCATTGAAAGCTATGGTGAAATCGGCAAAGAAAGCGGTATATGCAAATTCTCGGGAACGCGGATATCACAAGATGAGGAATTAGTAACAGCAGTCGTTGGAGCTGAAAAATTGATAAACAGCAGACTTTTAACGTATTCAGACATCAAACCCAAATGATGATACTGCGTTAACGCCCAATCATTTTTTGACTGGCCAGCTTGGTGGACAATTTCGCTCCCAGATATTATTGACCATTGATCGTTTATGATGTTAAAAAGCCGATGGCGGTATGTCCAGGACACTCCTACGCCCATTTCTGGAAGCGTTGGCTATAGAGAATACTTGGCCTACTCTGGGATCTCGATCTAAGTGGTTTCAAACTTCACGGACTTCAAAGCAGACGATATTGTCTTTTAATAGTTTGATCCAAACACACCACCCGGGGCACTGGCCTCTAGCCGAGTGACAAAGTGTTCCACGGTTCAGATCTGACATGTTCGTGTTGTTAGATGTTCCAATGGGGGAGAATGTATTCGACGACCAACTTTTCGCGTTTTAAGTCTTGTTGCAGAGAATCAAACAAAAAAGTTGTTAGTGACTCAAAGAAAAATGTAAACAGAAAAGTTGTTAAAATTAACATTAAATGTATTAAAAAATGAAGGCATAGTGTTTAAGGGACATCATAATCCCCAGTGACTTCTTTTAAGATTAATTTGATCAGAGCATAGTGTTAAGGGGCATAATAATCCCCAGAGCCCTCTCATTGATAAAAATCTAGTTTTTCATAAATGGTACATAGAATTGGAAGAATGAAAGAACTCGAAAGATATCGCAGATTTGCAAAGACTTTAAAATACATTGATATGTTAATTAAAGAAATATTTAGCAAGACTTTAACATTTCAGTTAAAATAGTGGGTTAAAATAGTTATGATTTACATGTATGTACATTTCTATACACTGTCATTCTTCATACTAAAATAATGTTCTGTTTCACTAAAAGTCTGATAATGCTAAATTCATTTTATCTTGTTTTTTTTTTGTTTTGTTAAAATGTTAGTTAAACATTAAATATTAAGTTCGGTCTGACATATTTTTGGTTTGAAGAGTGACAGGTAGTTTTCTGTTTAATCAGCAATTCATGTTTATTTTTTGTGTGTTACAATTTAAAATGTGATAAGGGAAGTAATCACTGACTTACAATGTTTGTTAAAGTAAATTGGATTGTCTCCCCTTAAAAAAGTATAATTATTAAAGAGACAATTGTGTAGAGAATGTTATCATATACTGACTGAAGCAAAACTAAAGATGATGTGTATTTAGGTTTATGTATATATTATGAGATTTAAAACTTAGGAATTACTAAGTATTGGTATAAAGTCAAATGTTACTTTATTTTGTGTAATTATGGTTACTACTGTAATTGAATGAGGTAACATTTTAAAGTTAAAAGGTTATTTAGATTTTTGATAGGAAATGCATAACAACATGTACATTTGTATTTTTGTTTGTTTTCACATGGCGTTTTTCAATTATGAGAAAAATACAATTTATTGTTATGTATCAGTCTAGTAAAAATATCGTAAAAAATTCGAGTACATTTTTAGGTACTTATCGTTAATATATAATTGTCAGATAGAATGATAATTGATCGTTAAAGTTATTATCGTTATTGATCGGTAAGACCGCTCAATGTGTGGGGGTATGTCCAAAAGAGTTAACTATAGTTTCTAATCGAATAAGCCTTTTTTGAAAGAAGTATTATTTTTAGTGGTGTTAGACCTGTTTGATGTATTTCCGGTTTAGAGAAAGCGTGGTTTAATAAATGGAATAAACAAGGAAAATCGAGAAATTATGCATTATTGATTATTTATTCCTCACAAATATCGATCCTTACGTCCACTTCATATATACTATACTATTGTTTTAATTTAGTGTGAGCTGTAATTCAATTATGTTTAACTACTCCACCATAACTTTTTGTGTATTTAATAATTATAATATATATATATATATATATATATATATATATATATATATATATATATATATATATATATAGCAGTCATACATGCATATTAACTATAAATACAAAATTTTCGTGACTTCGTTCATTTTCCTCAAAGTTGATTTTTTTAAATGCTTCGACTCATCTGGAGGGGCATGCAGCTTTAAGCTTATAATTCTCATTAATGTAAGCAATGACTAAATATATGTATTTTAAAAAGGTAATAAATAAATAAACGTTCCTTGATATTTTACCATTTTTTACATGTAATGGAATCTGATCGTCCTCATTTGAACAGGAAGGTTCACGATTGTTCCTACCATTCACTTTTTTTCGCGTTGCAAATCCATGTTCAGCTGAAGAAAAAACAACAACACGAAATACTAACTTACAGTATATTTGTCATATGTTGCGGTTCGGATGGGAATGTCCGTCCTGAGGGTAACCTGGCTTGACGAGTTACGAACCAAGGGCGGAATCGAAAGACAGATTACCTATCTAAACCGCAAAATGATGTTTTATGTTTTTCACTGCATATTCTACCATATCTTATCATATTCTAAATGGTTTACCTCAATTAAATACTTTTTTCACGGAAATTAATATCATTTCATCCGACATTACTTTCATACAACAGCGTATGACTTTACAGCTTTTTTATAGCAACGAAATGAATCCTCTCTTCCTTAAATTCGTTTTGTTGTAGTTTTTATTGTATCATTTTGTCAGTTTTATAATATGTAACTGAAAACTATTTAACTTTGTAAATTATCTTACCGTAAGAATCCTGAAGGTCATTTGATTCCGTTGTAGATGCTCGTTCTGATTCGTTCCAGTTACCTGAAAGACGGATCTGAATTTTGTACATTGCTCGTATCTTTTTGATAATGAATGCAATGTTCATTATGGGAAATTATCAAAAATATATATAATCTGGCATGGTAATTTACTTTCTATTAAAATTTTATAAACAACTACTCAAAACGTCAACATTTTTATGGTTTTTTATTTTATTCATATTTAATTCCAAAATTGTACTTCGCAATCAAATAATGAAAGATGTATCTTCACCTTCATCATTAATTTCCCTTATTCTTGAATACATGCATTCACTATCTCTTTGGTTATCAAAACGTCTTGAATTCCCTGAAAAAGTAAAAATAATTCTAAATTCGTCTAAATGAAGTCATGTAATACGGTTTATTAATAAAATTCGATTAAATGAATAAACTGAGTGCGCTAAAACGTCGTTGTATAGAACGCGACCGGCACCCCACTTGCCAGACACAGGTAAAACAGAAACATTCGTCTCATATGCGAGAAAATGATATTTTCTCAAAGATTGTGACATTATTTCCACTAAAAGTTTAAATTTTGTATTAATTGATGGAAACATAGAAAGATATACGCAGAATTTTGTTTAAGATTGCCACTGAGTACATATTTGTTAAGATGCTCGTCTTCTATACGAGAAATGTCCGGAAAGTTCATATACTACTTTATATTTTACTGTAAAATAATACATGCGCATAACAATTTTTTGCGAGCTAATAACTTCATATCTAGCAACACATTAACAAAAACCTACTGAGCTCTGATCAACTTTTACATTATATTGTCGTTACATATACAATCTATTGTATAAATCAATACAGAGCGATTCGACAACACCTCTGAAGCGTCGTATACCGACTAATACAGTTTAATAGTAACATAAGTAAGTGATAAATTCTATGTACTTTTATTATAATTTCTATAATGCCACTTTGTCAGTTTTATAAAAGTGTAATTGAAAACTATTTAACTTTGTAAAATATCAAACCATAATAGTATAAACAACTACTCAAAACGTCAACATTTTTATGTTTTTTTATTTTATCCATATTTAATTCCAAAATTGTACTTCGCAATTAAATAATGAAAGGTGTATTTTCACCTTCATCAATCATTTCCCTTACGCTAGAATACATGTATCCACTATCTCTTTGGTTATCAAAACGTCTCGAATTCCCTGAAAAAGTAAAAACACTTTAAAAAATGTTTTAATGCATTTTCAACATATAGATATTTTCTTAAAGTCTATGAAGCTTTAAATCGTATGTTTTGTATGTAATTAACAAGATTTTGTTTGAAATAACGATGATCACATTTGACGGAGCATAGGTGCAAGAATGAAAAGATTCCGGGAAAAATTAAATGAATTTGATTCATTGGATAAATCCTTAATGTGTTTATTATAATTATGGTGCAATCCACAACTTACTGCTCGGGACGGAGCCGCCGCTTCCGAAGCCACTGTCGCTGTGTAAAGATATAAATTAATTTCCTTAATAAGACATAAAAAGCATTTTCCTACATAATGGTGTTCAAATAGCCGTAAGGAAAAGTTCAAGATAAAAATGTATGCCTGCAAATACATTTACCTATAACATGTATAAATGTCAACTTTTCTATGAAAATTTTAACAATATTTTCTCTAACAAAAATAATAACTCTGCTTCAATATACAAACATGCAAAAATACTGTTGTCATATTCGAACAAGTAGGATAAAGGTTCATTTAAAAAGGTACGAAACTGAATATAAAATATTAAAATCTATTTACTACATGTTGCAATATAAGAAATACTTACGCAGAAAACGTCTGACTATCTGCATGTGCCTCTTTAAACATCTTCAACCATGTCTTGATTAAAATAGAGAAAAACATGTAATGGTCAAAAGAAACTATTTGCACTACCAGGATTATTGCTAACCTGATTTCTAGTGCTCTACTCACTTTTAAGTATTCGTATCACATGATAAGGGTAAACCATCGACAAATAATTAGGTGCGCTCTATTTTCACTAATTTAGGTTTCAAAAATCATCTATAACTTCTATCAACCAGATTTTGAAAGTATCTACGTAATGGTATCTATAAATGGTAATGAAGCTGACATTTTCCTTCCATGTAACGATATTGTAATTACAAAATAAATTTGTCACGAACATAAGCGATATTAACAAAACATGTTTTATATTTAAACACCGAAGCTATATATATATATATATATAAATGCACAAACAAATAACTTCCTGCAAAACGTACCGTACCTCTCTAGTCTTTGCAGTATCACATTGTAGTATAAGCTCCGGTGTCTTGTGATCAATGAATATTATTCTTATCCCCACAATGCCCTTGTTGTATTCCAGGATGCTGAAAAAAAACCATTAAAAGCCAATGGCCAAAATTTTATATGATATGAAATAAATGTAATTATACTGTTAAACATAAAATACCTGAATCCTAAACTATATTTATATTAAAAAATACGAAAAATACAAGATATTTCGACTTTTTTGAATACGGAATATAATAGAAATTATTATACATCTAATAAATCTACCCAATCGACAATCGCCTTTGTACCTCGTGGCCGTCCAATATATTCACGTTTTGGATCCAAAAAAAATATGTTATTTTGCACTAAATATCCGTAATATATATATAATATATTGCACTAAACGACCGTGAACATATTTTGACGTGACGTCATTTGCGTTACATAAGCATAGCGTTAAGGCGCGCTAAATGTTAGCATTATACTATTGTCAATGTGATAATTGAAATAAGGGCTGTCAATGTGATACTTTTCAGATTTACTGTTACATAATTATGATATTCATTAAACAGGAACTAATGATAACTGTAATTTATTACAATGTAAAATTTGTTAGAATAATGTTAACTGTATTTTTTTGAACTCACGAAAGTGATAAATAAATAATTAACGTCTAAAAAGTATTCGTTCTATCAGTCAAATTCTAAAAACTTATGTATACATTAAACAAAACCATCCATGACTAATTACCTTTTCATACGAACAAATTTAACAAGGGTCACAGGGCTATTTATTGATGATGTAGTTTTGGTGGTAGTTCTGGTGGTTATATCGATGGTGTTGATGATAGTGGTAGTGGTATTGGTGGTGGTATGTATGGTGATATTGGTGGTGGTTTTGTTTGGGTTCATGATGATGATAATAATTCAAATTAAACGAAAGATATATAATAAAAAGGTTATATACATTTTACTGCACAATACGAATATATTTGGGTTCGTTCACAGCTTGAAAAGTCATATTGAACTCGCCTATCGGCTCTTCAAATAGGACTTTGTAAGCTGTGTACGCGTTCAAATATATTCCCGTATGGTACAGTAAAATGTATAATAACCTATAAATATGGAAAAATACATCACGGAAAGGAAGAGTCCTCGGAAACAATGGAAAACAGACTTTGATGGGAGAAAAAACATAATTCCTTTAAACGTAACAGCTAGGGAAGACCTTTTTGTTCTTCCAAATCAAAATAAAGATATTCGATATTTGATGTGCAACAGTGTCTATCTAGACTGCGTCTACACAATTCTGTACAAATCATGAGTCAAGACCCTGGGGTTGGGGTCAGATACATATAAAAAAGAAATATCTCAAAACAAACATTTTATCACCGCGCCCATAAATAAGATATTTTGAGCATGGCATTGATAACTAAATATTCCTGTCAAGTAAGCTAAAGTTCTGCCCAGATGTCGGCCGCTCATGCCTGAAATAGTGTATCAAACACTATAGTGCCGGCCTGACTTTAATTCCAACCATAATAAACCATCAACTAAGCTTTCACAATTAAGGCAATTTAGATCCAGCCCTGGGTTATATTTACTTTTGCTTTTACCTTAATAAAAAACCTTTTTTTCTCAGATCTTTATAACGAAGCGCATAGATATTTGGCATGAAAGGTACTTGTGTGGTCACCACCAAACTATATCGCCTTAGGTAGATAACAAGCTGTGTCTTGCATCCAATTTACATATTCAAGTCTCTATAAGGTTTCAAGTGAGCAATTAAGCGCTATTTTATAAAAACCCTGTTATGCATTATTAAATCCTGCTTTAAAGGCGCTGTACTTCAGTTATCAGTATCATCCAACTATGACCTCATCAAAGAAAAGCTTGTAAAATATTCATTTTGGCGCCTTTGATGACTATCAAAATTATGCTTCATTTATCGTTTCAAACGTTCTTGTTATCTTTGAATAAATGAAATAATAAAAAAATGTAATATTTATATAAATTAACGCCATGTGACATAAACCATTTTTTAATAAGCCATTGACTATGATCTTTTACCTATCTACTTCTCGCATCGATATTGACCACTCCTGTTTACTTGCATTATGATTGTCAAAGCAATGGAAATTCCATACACAGCCTTCTATTGCTCCTCTTGAGATGATGAAATATTTTACAGTCGCTGTCAAAGACAGTGAATATTGGTTTAAAATATTTGTGGTTATTACTAGAACCCTTTCAGTGTTAAGATATCGTATTTAGATGTTC